CACACAGCGCAGAGCTACACACTGGCTCTCTTTGGAAGGAGAAGCATCTGGGGGCGTGGCTTGAAGCAAGATGGAGCTGTCACGCAAGACCAGCAGTCGCCCCTGAGTCTTCCAAATGAGCTGTTGGTTCTTATTTGTTGGCTTTTCCTACAGATAAGGAACAACAATAGCAGTGACCTCAGACTCCTTGCATGAACACGAAGCCATCAAGACACAACTGAACAGGTGCCGCCTAGTCCTACTCTTACAGAATTTCTTCTGAAGTCCTTTCCTGGCCTCTGCATTTCATTTCCTTTTTCTCCCAGTGGTTGGAAAGCACTGAAAGAAAACACTGATTCGGGAAGCCCCAGTTATCAGAACGTCACGCCACCTACCCCCTTAGTGACAGCGTCAAATCACTTTGCTTGCTCATGACACTTGCAGCCACGACAAGGCATTCTCTTTTCCCTTGAAGTCACTTTTCAACACACTGTGATTTCCTTCTTCATCAAAAGACAATGCTTGAATGATTCCTTAAAACGTGTATTCTGCAAGCAATGAATCATTCCTCTAATTTCCGGCTTCAAGTTTAAATCAGGCATGGCTGTTCTGCTGAGTTAATAAGCATATTCATAATCAGATCTTTGGGAATAAGTCCTTAAAATATTAAATTATTTAAATCATTCACAATGAATCTCTCCAGTTCCATCAGCTGGTCCTCCTTGGGCCGGCTCTCCAATCCTCCAACCTGCCCGCTATGTGCATTAGCTATATTTAACTTTAAGCCCTGAAGAAATGCTACAGACCTCAGCAAGCTAATCCTAAGCATTCCTTCCACTCAGAGACTCACTTACAAAGGCAGGAGGGATGAATCACTCTTTAAAGATGACAAAAACAATTAACAGACCAAAGTGTATTTTGTTCAAGATTTCTGCCACAGGGATTCAATCAATGTTATCACCCCTAACATCAGACTTCGGGGCCCAGCGCATTGGCTCAATGGCTGAATGCTCACCCTGCACACACTGGGATCCCATATGGGCACTGGTTCATGTTCAGGCTACTCCACTTCCCATCAGTTCCCTGTTTGTGGCCTGGGAAATTAGCTGAGGATGGCTCAGAGCACTGGGACCCTGCATCTGCGTGGGAGACCTGGAGGAAGCACCAGGCTCCTGGCTTTGGATCAGCTCAACTAGGGCAGTTCTGGCCAGTTGGGGAACGAACCAGCTGATTAAAGATCTTTCTCTATCTCTCCTTCTCTTCATAAATCTGACCTGGCTTTCTGATACAAAATAAATCTCTTTTAAAAATGGACTTTGGGGCCCGGCGCAGTGGCGCAAGTGGTTAAAAGGCCTCGCCTTGCACGCCCCGGATCCCATATGGGCACCGGTTCTAATCCCGGCAGCCCCGCTTCCCTTCCAGCTCCCTGCCTGTGGCCTGGGAAAGCAGTCGAGGACGGCCCAAAGCTTTGGGAACCTGCACCCGTGTGGGAGACCCGGAAGAGGCTCCTGGCTTCGGATCGGCATAGTATCGGCCCGTTGCGCTCACTTGGGGAGTGAATCATCGGACGGAAGATCTTCCTCTGTCTCTCCTCTCTGTATATCTGCTTTTCCAATGAAAAAACAATAAAAATAAATCTTTAAAAATGGACTTTGGGGCCTGGCGCCATGGCCTAGTTAGTGGCTAAAGTCCTCACCTTGAACGCACCAGGATCCCATATGGGCACCAGTCCTAATCCTGGCAGACCCACTTCCCATCCAGCTCCCTGCTTGTGGCCTGGGAAATCAGTAGAGAATGGTCTAATGCCTTGAGACCCTGCACCCGTGAGGGAGACCCAGAAGAGCTCCTGGCTTGAGATCAGTGCAACATCAGCTGTTGCGGTCACTTGCGGAGTGAATCATCAGACGGAAGATATTTCTGTCTCTCCTCCTCTCCTTATATACCTGACTTTTCAATAAAAATAAATAAATCTTTTAAAAAATGGACTTTGTTAGATTTTTATGATTGATGTAACAAAGAACCCACCTCTTCCATAAGGAACAGAGGAGCTTCTACCTGTAAGGATGCTTTTTGTTCATAGTAAGCACCTTGACCTAGAGAACTACAGAAGATAAATTCACTCTTCACAGGAATGTTAATCTCCTCTGTCCAAAGGTTGGGGGTAGGGGGGGAATTTTGACTCTAATAAACTGTTACTTACATTGATTTATAAGTGTCAACATTTGTAAGAAATAACTTCATACAAATTTTTTTTAGGATACATTGCTTCTATAATTTTAACATTAATTTTTTAGGAATGTGTTTGTAAGTCTGAAAATAGACCCAGTTCAAGCTCCACCTCCACCCAACAGGCCCAGAGAGAAATGACTGGGTTTCCTGGGCCAATGGGGTCAGTCCTCTGAGATAGCATCTGTAGGGCCCCTGGGTCCCTGACCCAAGTCGTAGCCTCCCAGGGTGGGCTGGGTGCCTGCCAGGAGCATCAGGCTCCTGGACACTCAAGTGAGGGCAAGTCCTCTGGCTCGGCAGGAAGGGCATGCTCTCAACCCTAGAGCCACTGAGCACCAAGCCTAAACCATTAGAATGTTTCAGCTCAGTTAACCTCCTCATCAGCATTATTTCCATTTCCAAGGGAAGATTTCTGCCCAAACTCCGAAACAAGCAGAGAGCTCAGAACAGAATTTTTTTTTAAAGGGTAAATTGTGAAATTGTGTCAGATAATGATATTACTATTCAACAGTTTACTTCAGATCTGGGGTTCTGCAACCCTGCAAAAGCTATCATGAAAGCCATTTCACAAACAGAATGGGTTTAATTGGATGAAATAAAATCCAATTTTATTTATGGCCCCAAATTGAATAAAACCTGGGATATTTCCTTCCCTTGAGCATAGGAGGAAGTTGCACTGCGACTAACGAGGGCGAAAAGGCAGGCCAAGAAAAGGTTCTCTTCTCTACAAGGCCTCCTTCTCTCCAACCAGGCCCCTCTCCAGGGTTCAGGCTTCCTGATCACCCCAGCGGCTGCAAAGCAAAAGAGATGACACACTTCTTCTGAAACGCCCATAGAGACAGGGCTGTTTCACAGCAGAGCTTCAATCAGATTCTAAAGGCAAAACTATTACAGAAACAGTAATGAAACTATTTATGTCCCCCCAAAAAATCATAACTAGGTAAATTAAAAATGCAGAGAATTTTTTTTTTAATGCAACTGATGCAGCAGGGAAGCCTGGCAGGTAAGAAGGCGCATCCAATATCAGAATGTCCGGAATGGATTCTGAGCTCCAGCTTTGGACTCCAGCTTCCTGCTACTGCACACTCAGAAGCACCAGGGATGGCTCAAGGAACTGGGTTTGTTGGCCACATCAGAGATGTGGATTCACTTCCTGGCTCCTGGCTTCAGACTAGCACAGTGAGAGCCCTGGTCAGCATCTAGAACTACACATGGCAATTCACTCCCTCGCTCTTTTCTCTGTCAATATGTTTTCTGTGTTTCTTAAATTATTTAACCAGCTACTTAATTTAAAAAAAAAATAGTGAAGCTTTCAAACATTTTGGGTAAGTTACAAAAGAAATACCAGGAAAAAAAACTATCATCCACTTAAGATGATCACTCGTGTATTATAAACTAACAAGGTTCTTAGCTCAATTTCTCACTTCAACATATTTTGCCAACCTACAGGCAAGCTACACTCAGACCACATGTACACTAAAAGTAGATATAAGAGTGAGTAAGAGTCTAAACTGCTGAGAATAAAACTCTATTGAATTCAAAGTTAAGTAGTACAACTAAGAACAAATCTGGACTGGTCCAAACTTAGCAGAGCTAATAAGCAAGGAATCAGAATGTGTGTCCATCCTAAAACTACTAGTACAAACTAAATAGATCCAGAGCATCTGTGTCAGTCCTTCACCAAATGATAGAATGATGAGTTCATGTCCATTTACTTGATTGATTCAGTGTCAGAAAAGCTTCAGCCTCCCCTATACTCAGTACCTAATATAACTCCTAAAGTTAAAAAACTAAGAACACGCATAGTAAGACCCTAACTGTCCAAACTGATTAAAACCACAAAAATAGATCTCACGAAAAAAAAAAAATATCCTGATAGAGAGCTAAGTCATGGCCCAGCCATCTAGAATCAAGTAATTGCCACAGCCTGCATGTGTAACAGTGCTGGTGTATGGAAGGGGGTAGACGGGACCAAATCCTGGATGGCCATGAACCCTGGACAGCCATGAACCCTGGAGTAAAAACAGAGCTTCTCACACAGGCGTTTGCTCTGTGCCCAAACACCAAGGTTGCAGAGCAGCTCCACTGCAAGTCTGGGCTGCAGGCAATGTCCCATAAAGCACTATCCAAAAATGACTACAAACACAACATGGAGAAATAATAACCATTTAAGAAAAATGGGAATACTAATCACCCTGATTGAGCCACTCCTAGTCCATGCCTTATGCTGACTCATCACACTATATGTCATAAGTGTATAATTACTATATGTGAATTTAAAATTTGCTTAAGTTTAAATTTACACATGGTCTGAGTGACGCTGACATTTTTGAAGGTGTCAACCCACAGGTTATTTCCTGCCTGGCCACATTTCTTCTAACGTTCACAGATCTGGTGGCGTGTTCTCCCTTGTGCAAATGATCCTCTCTGTCTGGAAATCAGCCAGCAACATCCCCTTCTCACAGCAATAAAACTTGCCAGCAGCAGGTGAGGTCACAGCCCAAAGCCACGGGCGTAAGAGCCTGGCATCCAGAACTGGTCAAGGCAGCAGTCCTTCCCCACTTGTGGCAAGGCTCTCCACCCTCCACCTTCCTGCCTCCTGGACAGTAGAATATCAACCAGCCCTGAGACAAGTGTTTCAGGAATATCCCGGGGAACACAGCCACAGCCAAGCAAGCTTTAGGAACAAATGGACAGGAATACCCACTCACCCGGGGAAGCAGACATCAAACGAGAAAGTACATTGTGAACTTGACCCTGAGAGGAGGCATCTGAATTCCCTGGCAAATACCCACCTTCAAGGGAAGAATTTCCCAAGACAGTCCAGCCCAGAGGCAGCTCCAGCTGGGTCAGAGCCAGCACGAGCTCCTCGTCCAAAGCAGGCAGGGCTCCCGCCGTTAGGGCAAACGGGGTCAGCAGGGTCTGATGGCTCCAGGTGGTGAGGCGGTCAGCCTGGGTCACCAGCAAACGGGCCAGCCTGCAAGCCATGTTGTCCACATAGGTCACCGAGCCGGAGCCCATAGTCACTGGTGAATAGCCTTCTGAGCAGAGACACACGGACACCACTACTGTCTCCTGAAGCCCGTGGCCTGCATGACAAGAAAATAAAGAGGTCAGTCCCAGGGGATCATGCAAAAAGCTCAGTTAGCCCTGCCTGAGCACGCAGCTTGGTACAGCAGAACAAGGTTGCTGCCAGAGGAAAGCTGACCACATCTCAGAAGAGACTGTCAGGAGCCCTGACCACCCCAGTGTCTGCTCTCCTGCCATCTGCAGCCACTGCTGCCTGGCACGCCTTCGCCTTCTACTTCCACCTCGAGCCCTCATTCAAGTCTGTCGTTGGACAGGCCTGCTGCCCCTCTCCCTGCCATTTTCTGCTCAGCCGTGTATATTTACATATTTATGGAAGGGATGGTTTTCTAAGACAACCCCCACAAAATGGCACAAATTCATTCTATTCCAGAGAATGCATTTGAGTGTAAGCTACGCGAAGTCTGTGCTCCACTTGGGCAGCACATATACTCCAATCGGAACGAAGCTAAGGGAAGCCTTCCCACCACATACTCTACATAGCCATAGCCACATACCGTCCAATGCGCCCGTTCATTCCCCAGATGGCCACAACAGCCTAGGCTGGACCAAGCTGAAACCAAGAGCTCCAACCCAGTCTCCCACATGGGTGGCAGGAGTCCAGTGGCTTGGGCCATCTTCTACTGCTTTCCCATGAGCATTAGCAGGGAGCTGGATTAGAAGTAAAACAGCCAAGGCTTAAACAGGTGGCCATACGTGATGTAGTTATTGCAGGTGGAGGCTTAACGCACTATATCACAAATCTGGTCCCTGTTATATCTTTCCGATATAGATAGGAGTTGATGGGCCAGAGAGAGAGATGTGCTAAAACATGCTTATGGTCTCAGAAATTAGACAATGGACTAATTGAAAGAGCAAGACCAAGCATGGCTGAAAAACAGTCACATCTTTCCTACTGCAGGTATGTTATCTTCTTGCTCGCAGTCTACCTTCTTCCACGTGAGCTGGTGGACCCCAGCAGCACTCAGATCACTTTTTAAAAACAGTCAAGTCTGCATTTAGAATAGTGAGACGCAGGAGCTAGAAACACTGGAGGGAAGAAGGAGAGAGGCTGGATAATGCGCGATCAAAAGCTTAACAAAAGGCAGCCAGACCTCACAGAAAAACTGAAGGACCCTTCCTTGGATGATAAAACTTCAGAGGGCCTCAAAGATCCACTGTTAAAAAATAATAATAATAACCCTTTTAATAAGGACCAAAAAAATCCTCCTTATCTCACAAGCAATAACATCTTATGTATTTATCTTCATTTTTTATTGGAAAAAAAAAGTGTAAAGGACAAAGACAGATTAAAATGTTTGCACCAGCCAGGACTGGGTCAGGCTGAAGCCAGGAGTCCAGATCTCAGTTTACAGCTCCCACATGGGTGACAAAGACCCAAGGACTTGAACCCTCAGATCTGTTGCCCCTCAGGGTGTACACTAACAGAAAGCTCAAGCAAAAGCAGAAGCAGAAGAGCTTGGCTTAGAATCTGACACACCAAAACGAATTGTGGGCATTCCAAACAAAGCATCAAACCACTGCATCAAATGCCTGCCCAGGTCAAAGACTGGTCAAAGTTGGATGCTCACAGATGCATATCGCACACGCCAATGCAAATGTCAAATACACCTCTGAGAAGAGCTATTCACTCACAAGATACTAATCTTTTATCTGTCACCAAGGTACTTGAAGACAACTGGAAGAATTACAAATTCCAAAACATCAACATTTTGGTGGCTAGGAGAAAAAGTTCTGGAGCCTAAAATCAAGCAAGAAAGATCATGGCGGCAGAGGGTGCCAAAGAGAGAACCTCAGGCACCAGGGGAGCGAGGCATGGGAGAGACAGGCCGCCTACGTGGAATGAGGAAGCAGGAACGAAGACAAAGCGTGTCCATTCTGCTCAAGCCAGTCCTGGAGACAAACTCTGGGATTAGGAGGTAACACTTAAGATACAGTCTTTCCTGCACTTGACTGCATCCCAAGCACACACAGCTTGGAGAGTCGGGGCAGGCAGGAAGATGGGCCTGCCCAGACAAAGTCAGGGCTCCGGATGGAGGTGCAGACACGGCGGAAAGGGCCACAGAGGTAGGAGATCACTAGGTGAGCGTCTTTGCCACAGGTTCACATACACCCGCATGCAAGGCCTTGCAACACAGCCTCGTTTGCCTCCTTGGGCCCTTCCTGGCTCCTGTGCCTGGACTGACAATGAGGAGGACACCTCACCTGGAATGCTGGACTGGAGAACGTTGGCTTCCACACGCTCTGCAATCACGATGTGTCTCTGATGGGATCCATTATAGATAAAGTAAAACTCAGCATCTTCGGGGAGATACACATTTTTGCCAAATGTCGCATACACAGTTGTCCGTCCCTGAAAAAATGAGTAAGTCAGGGCACAGTCATACTTTTTTGTCCTGGCTCTAGGAAACCACAATCCAAAGGGCCCAGGCCCAACTCAGTGTTGATCAATGTATCACTCTGGGTGGCTCAGCTCAAATATCACCAATGCTTTCCAAAAACAACGTTCCTGACATGTAGGAAGATGCTTCCTGTTCTGCGTAGGTGTTGGGTGTGCCAGAGCTGCTTTGCTCTGCAAAGCTAAGAAAGCTCAGGACATTGAGAAGAAACGCTCTGCTCGTTAACTAGATGCAGGAGTGTGATGTCTTTTCCCGAAGTTGTAGCTGCCGAAGATCATTTGCTCGTATTCATTTTCAGCCTGTCCATGAACTAGTAGTAATAGTACAAACCTTCACAATCATTAGCCTTAGTTCTGGCTTCACCCTGTACTGCAGCATTGTAGGATGTAAGAACCCTCAAAGAGCCACCAAGCCACACAGCTCCATACACAGGGCTAGTGACCCCATTGGCCAGTCCAGTCTCATCTGCCAGCTGTCTTTCCTGGGGAATTTCCGAATCTTTATTCACAACTGGCCTCACACTTTTCTCTGAGAAACTTCCGGTTGGCCCAAAGCCCTGCAGAGTTCTTTGATGCCAAGCAAGGGGAACTGTCAGCCCGGGGCACTGAGGACAAATGTCGGAGGAAGTAGGACAGAAGGCTGATGCTCTCAAGGCAGGCTATTTGTAAAGGCTGCTTTGGCAGCGTCCCAGCCACAGAAGCAAGCCTACCAGGTCACCTGGGGACCCTGGAGGCTTCAAAGGATTCCCGATCCTCCCTACTAGAAACTCAAAAAGGCAGGCCAGAGCCAGACTTCAAGGAGAGGGCACATTCCGCCCAGCCTACAGGAGCGGCCAGGAGGGAGAAGGGTCAGAGCTTAGCATGCCTTGTGGAGAAGCATCTGGGATGTTATGTGCTCTTCCAACCAAAACAAGCCTGCTCCCAAGAGGTCCTCTCACCTACAAGCCGGGGAGAAGTGAGCAAAGTCCACCCAGTCTCCTTGACTTGCGCTTGACAAGTATCAGTCCAACTCCTCCCAGGCTACTCGAGGACAATCAGAACAAAAGCAAAATCAGTGTCAGGCTCTCTCTCTCTTTTTTTTTTTTCCAGTAGCCATGTGGTTTTTGGGTCCAAATGCTTTCAAAATGGAATAGCTATTTTTGAGTCATTTGCAATCCATCACACACACACACACACACACACACACACACATACACACACTTTCACAAGGTCTCTGAAACGATGAACTTGGAAAAATTGGAGAGCTTTGAGAAAATCATCAGTCCTCAGTTTTCAATTGTCCTTTCTCTTTACATAACTGTGCAGGCACACTCACACACACGTAATCAATAGAAAACAACGGGCCAAGAAAAATCTGCCATACAATAGCTTCACCAAAGTTCAGGAAGGAGAACTGAAAAAGCAAAAAACAATAACAAATGTCTAACATGACTGAGAGAGGAAACTTCGATGAAATTCCATTTCCTAAAAAAGGAAGAACATCTTGCATTAGTCATGTTCATGGTTGCTAAAGGGACTGTTAATTACCCAGGGACAGAATCTAAGCTGGCCTGTTCACAGCTGGCTTTCTTAGAAAGTGTATAAACAGATCAAGATTTTCACAAGTCCCAAGGATATCTATCTAATCTGCATCTATTCAGAAAAATGGTCATATTTTCAATTTAGTTGGTTAAACAAGGACTACAACTTGTGAATAATCCTATACAAAGCAATACAATCAAAACTCACCACACAATTCACTGTGCTTCTCTTTCAAGAATCACAGAGTGGGTTGCTGCCCTGACCTGGCAGGATAAGCCTCTACTCATAGAACTGGTATCCCATATGGGTGCTGGTTCGTGTCCCAACTGTTGCACTTCCCATCCAGCTCCCTGTTAATGGCCTGGTAAGGCAGAAGACAATGGCCCACGTGCTTGGGTCCCTGTACTCAAATGGCAGACTGGAAGAAATTCCTACCTCCTGACTTTGAACCAGTCCAGCTCCAGCCATAATAGCTACATGGAGAGTGAACGAAAAGACGGAAGATACGCCCCTGACCCTCTGCAAATCTGACTTTCACATAAAAATAAATATATCCTTTTTTAAAAAAAGTCACACTGTATCTCATAAATATGTATAATTATGTGCCACATACCATGCTTTACATTAGCGAAAATAAACATATTAGAATGAAAAAAAAAGAGAGAGACTCCTAGAAGCCCTCGCACTAAGAATAACACTCAGCAGTAAAGAGGCACTTACTGACAATCACAGAGACTGAGGATAGAGTTAAAGATATTATGGAAGAAGGGAACACATGATACAAAAACCAGAGAGACTCTCAGAGATAGAAGAAATGAGGAAGGGCTGGCACTGCAACGCAGCACCCCAGAAGGGCACCAATACCTGCTTTGGACTGCTCCATTTCTGATCTAGCTCCCTATTTACACAGCTGGGCAAGTAGCATAAGATGGCTTAATTCCTTGGGCCCCTGCCACCCACATGGAAGACCTGGATGGAGATCTAAGCTCCTGGCTTCTGTCTGACCCAGTCCTGGTCATTAGAGCCATTTGGGAGTGAACCAGCAGGTGGAAGAATGTCTCTCTCTTTCTGTCTCACTCCCTGCCTCTCTGTAACTCTGTCCTTCAAATAAACAAACAAATCTTTCAAATAAAAAGGGGGTGAACAGGAGAGGGAAACGAGAAGAAGGTGTGAAGATAAATGAATAAGAACATGTACACTCAGAAAAGATACAGCTCAGCAGAGACAGAGTCAGGTAAAGACAGACAGAAAAACAGCAGGAGGAGCGGACTTCTGGGAGAAAGACAATGGAACACACAGTGCGCCAATAATCCACCACAGGGGACAACTTGTGGCTCACATCAGAGCTTTTCTGACCACTGTGGCCACTGAAACCTGCCCCTCTTCCAAAAAGATCATCAATTTCATATTTGCTAAAGATAAATTATAGTGCACGGAATTTCAGCATCCCATCTGGATCCCACTACATTCTTTACACCAGGCAATTAAAAATCATAAACTTTTCTAAGTCAATCTGTTGGCATCGATACCAGGAGAGTTTGACACACACATAACAGAGCTACACTCTCATGTTTCTATCAACTCACTATAGCCCAAATAAAAGCACTCGAACATTCCACTGGAACATCTGAAAACAACAGGAGGTGTGTTAGGCAAAACAGTGTCCCCAAATGAATCTATGAATGTAATAGATTCCAGTTAAAGCCAAAACTGATTTTGCTCAAATGAAAGTCAATAGGCTTATTTTAAAGTTCATCTGAAAGTGTAAATAACAAAAACAGAAATATAAGTTTGAGGAAAGAATTATGTTTGGGCTGTCGGAGGAGGGGGAGGTTAGGGTTTGCCCTAACACAAAGCAAACCACAATAACTCCAAGGTAAACAGTGTGATAGTGGCATAGAGACAGACCACGAAGTGCATACTCCAGAGGCAGGCACACACACCCTTGGAAATGATAAAGGTGGCATTCCAAGCAGTGAGGAAACTGTAGACTATTAAATAAAGGTTCTGACACAATGGTCATTCATTAGTGGCAAAAATACATCTCCTATCAAGTAGCTAAAGTCTCAGTTCAGTATCTCACATCAAAGTCTATAAGGGCATAAAAATTAGAAGACTATTTAAAAGCATTCACTATTGAACAAAATGATGGAAATGAAAGACAGCTACATTTTCTCCAACATTGACACCAAACCTAACATCTCCACCTGGTTTCATTTTTCCTAAGGTTTTCGGTCCTTTTCTTATTCTCAATCATTACACAGCTGTGCTCACAGCACAAACTCACACACCGACGTTCTCTCCTCTCTCCTTTCAACAATATTTGTCTAGGTTAAGATCTTTAGTTGGGCCATGAAAATGCGATCTTTATGTGATCGCATTTCATCTAATATTTCATGGTCCAAGCCTACGACTATTTCAACATTCCACTATTGTTGCACGTGAAGTATACTTCCATATTGTTAATATTATAAACACTACTATAATAAACATTTTCTTGTATACTCTTATGCGAAAAGTTCAGAAATAAGCCCAAAAAAGTGAACAAATTGTCATGTCACAAACTGCTAAACTGTTTTTCCAATAATGTATTCATTTTCATTATCTCAGAGACTGGTATTGTGGCATAGCATATTAAACTGCCAAGCATGACACAGGCGTCCCATATGGGCACTGGCTGCTCTACTTATGATGTGCCTAGGAAAGCAGCAGAAGATGGCCCAAGTGCATGGGCTCCTGCCAATCATGTAGGAGACCCACAACGGCTCCTAGCTTCAGCCTGGCTTATCCACCAGCCATAACAGTCATTTGGAGAGTGAACCAGCAGGTGGAAGATCTCTCTCTCTCTCTCTCTCTCTCTCTGTAACTCCATCTTTCAAGTAAAATTAATCTTTTTTAAAAACCCTTTTCATCATCACATGTGCTGATAAAGTATAATTTTCATCCCTGCCTTGCCCAAGTTATCTTTTGTGTTGTATCTTATAGTAGCTGATAAAAATGGTAATCTAATCCATAGTTACTGAATAGTGAATATCATATTTAATGTTACTAATTACTAATTTAACTCATACTTTTTTCTTCTGTCTACTTTTGCATAAATTTATTATTGAATGTACAACTTTGTCAGTGGCAAAATAGAATGTCAATTTTAAAAATTTTACTCTTCTTGCTTCTCTTGCATACCTGAACACTTCTAACGTTCCCTTTTCCCAGTTAGTATCAAAGTCACACTCTGCTGCTTAGTGGCACTGTACCACCTCTGAGCCACTAAGGCCCAGAGAAAACTCCCCACCGCTCCTCCAGAAACACTGGAGGAACAAACACAGAATGGAAAGATTGACCTGACTATAATCATACTAATTTGTCTCAATATGGACATTCAAAAAAATCAAGCAAATTCAAATAACACTTTTACCTTAAGCATGACTCTAGAGAAATTCTATTTTTAAAAAGTCACTAATAATTCTTAAAAGGCCAGGCCTTGTGCTGCGTTGTTCCCGAAGATTCAGAAAGGTATTAAACTTTGTGCCACTTACTGTAAACTACCTCATCCAGCCCTCCCACTTCTCCTCTGATGGCCTTTAAGCAGAGTCAGTGACACTAATTTGCATGTTCCAAAGATAGGTTTATGCATTTCTGTCTCTAATGGCCTGAAGAAATAAGGGACCGGGTTAGTCTAATCACCGAATAGTCCTGTTCTAATGTTCTCCGTCCTTTCCTCCCTCTCCTTCCTCTCACCCTCTCTTAGGAGACAATTCATCTGCATATAATTAGACACTGCTAATAACCTTGTTATTTGGCAGGTAATAACCTTAACTATCTGATTTCTAAATACCTGGCATAAGTGTGCCCTCAGCA